CGTAGTCATCTTTAAAAAAAGGAAAAGAAAAAAAAATCTCCAACTAAACAAGAGACAAACGACATCAACAAAGAACAAAGAAAGGATAAAAAACAACAAAAAAACGAAACAAAAGATCAAAACCGCACACAACAACAACAACAACAACAAAACCACACACAGCAGACAACCACGACCCCAACCTTAAGAAAAGGGACGAAAAGAAGCGAAACTTGGTAATCGCCGTGGTAACATGGTTGCAAGAGCAGGTGCCCCACCTATTGAATTTCACATGCAACCTTGTGCCGAGCTTATATAAAAAAAGAGAGAGAAATAGAAGAAAGAAAGATAAAAAAATATATATACGCTGTTAGAAAAAGCTCCATGAAGGTGGATTAAAAGCTCGTCTTGGCGAGGAATATATGAGGCTTTGATCGCTTCCCTCCGCCAAGCTTTCGCCAAGGAATATCTCCCAAAAAAGACGACACAATCTACATTCCGCGAGGCTTAATTCGCAGGCCGCATTAAACCTCTCGCTGGAGAGAAGGAGAGAGAAAAGAGAGGAAGAGAAGCAGCAAGTATATACATTATTCCCGGGGATCTATACACACGGAAAACCCGTTCGCATTCAGCAGCTTCGATTTCGCTGCCACAATAGAAACACGTTTCAGGTAAACACTGATTGATCAACCTGCCACGACTCGTTTCCAGTGATCAGCGCACACCGCCCGCCGATCCCCACGTCGCTGCCGCACACACTCGGAAGGACGGCTGTACGTATACAGCACACGCGCACGCCATGTGTGTATGTGTATATGTATGTGTATATATATATGTATGTATGTATGTATGTATGTATTATGTATATATATAGTATTTATGTATGTATGTCTATATGATATGATATTATATGTATGTATACACATACAACGTACATATACACACATATAATACATATATGCTAATATATATACGTATATATATATATATAATATATGTATAATACATACAATATATATATATATATATATATATATATATAATATAGTATATACATACATACATATATATATATATATATATAATATATAATTATTACATACATACACATACATAATACATATACATTAACATACTACATACTAACATATACATGTACTATATATATATATGTTATAATATATATATGTATATGTATATATGTATATGTATGTGTATAATATATATATATATATATATAATATAATATATATATGTGTGTGTGTGGTGTGTGGTGTGTGTGTTGTGTGTGTGTGTGTGTATTTGTATATATATGTGTGCGTATATATATATATATATATAATATATAATATATATATAATATATATATATATATACACATACATATTACACAATGAATAAATGAGACTTACATTATAAAAACAACAACAAAAACACTCCCAACAAGAACAGCAGCATAGCCATCAACCACAATAAAAATAACAACATTAACAGGAACAGTTTTCAAACCCGCAATGTCTCCCCGTTCAGCGCGCAGCGAGATCCGATCCCCAACTATATTTCCGCTCTGGACCAAAATCTGCTGTCAGCTTCTGTCCCCACCCATCCCCACCCTCCCCTATCCTCTCCTCATCCAAATCCTAACCCTGGCCCTCCCATCCTATCCTAACCCCTCACCTCCCATCACACCCCCCTGGCCCTCCATCCTATCCCCCTAACCCTCCCATCCTATCCTCCCCCTCCCATCCTATCCTACCCCTCGCCCTCCTATGCTATCCCCCCACTCCCCCATCCTATCCTACCCCACACCTCCCATCCAATCCTCCCCCTAACCCTCCCATCCTACCCCCTGACCCTCCCAGACCCTCTCAGGATCAAGACTAGTCGGCGTGCAACATTCCTGACCTCCGTGATCCCTCGCTTGTCCAATCAGCGTGCAGCTATCCTTCACCTCATGCTCGAGGCTCCGACCAATCAGCGCTCGTATATCCCTGCCAGCTCGTCCAATCAACTGTCTCCTTATTCTTACCAACCGACCAATCAGCAGGCGACATTTTCCCTCCTACCGCCATACTACCCATAAAACAGACCCCGTAAACGAACAGAAAAAAACAGCAAAAGACTGGAATTTTTAAAAAATGAGAATACAGACAATGAAAAGCAATGTACACACTTATAATAGATATAAAACAAATACCCCAACAACAAACAAGAAAAATAAGTAACAACCCCTTACCCAACCACAGAAACAAAACCAAAAACAAAGAGAAAAAAGACAAAAAAAAAAAACTCATCCTAGAATTTTTAAAAAATACAAGAAAAAGAAAGAAAAAAAACCCTCATCATAATTTTAAAAAAATAACACAACCATAAGAACAAAAATAACAAAAAGACACCAAAAAAAAAGGCCTCAGTACTCCTCACTTACCCTGCCAAACTGCTCGAAGTAGTTTTTGACATCTTCTAGCGTCGTGGGTGCCGAGAGGCCGCCCACAAATATCTTCTTCGTCCGTGTCACCAT